AAGTAGAAAGCAAATGTTTTGAGAATGATGAGGGCAACAAATGTACAAATGTGCTTGACACAATGGATGGATGTATGGATTGTGATAAGAGTTGTACGAACCCCCAGTAAAATGATGAGAGAAAAAAGTGTCCTGGAGGGAATGAGGCAACTTGGCAAAGAGGCAAGGAAACGGGCCCAAGAGTGAGAGTGAGTGGGGACATCGTCGCTCAGCAAGTAACCAGCTCTGTGGACCAGGGCAAATTAGTTAACTTCTCTACTGTGGCAAATTTTAAATGTTACTGGTACTTGGTGGTAAAAATGCAGTAAATGTTAACTGCACAAGAATAATATAATTACTGTTCATTAGAGTATTATTATCATTGTTGCATGTGGTGTAAATATTTTGTTGTGAACCTAACATACCAGTACTTGTGTGTTTCCTTTATCTACTTGCCGTGTAGAGCATGTTGACTGTGCTGTAATCTGGGTCAGACCTCTTACCTATGTGATTGTGCAAATTCCATGAAAAATAGCAACTATTCGGTGTTATGAGTAAAAATTTCAAAGCCAAATATCCGTGCAATAACATAACATCGAAATTAAGTTCACTTCCATGTTGTATATTTGAGTGCTGACCATATGTAAAGCAACAGCTATGATATACAAACATATAAAGTACATTTCCTATCCTCAAACACTATTCATTTAACAAGAAGGATAAGGGAAGCAAAGAGGAAATCTACTATTTTAAGCAACCAGGTGGATGGAGGGCAGGATATCAGAAGAAAACAGTTCAAGTTGGATTAGTAATAGAAACAGAATGAGCCGGAAACCAGTTTAAACACTTTGGGATGTCAAGGCAAAGTCAATTGGACTATACCTTGGTGGTGGTTAGGTTGTTTCCTATTCAGCCGTCCCCAAGTTGGGAAAGAGTATTGACTATTCTGGGGATGATCAGAAGAATGAGAATGAACAAATGTGTTTTGGAAGAACTGCAGCCAGAATGCTCCTTGGCAGTGAGGACGGTGACATGTCATCTCATGTACGTTGGACATGTTATCACGAGGCCCGGTCCCAAGAAAAGGCGTCATGGTTGGTACTCCACAAAGCTAATTTTCCTGGAGTCTTGGGAAAGATTCACTTGTTAAAATAAAAGAAGAGGACCCGCAATGAGGTAGATGGGTACAGTGGCTGCGATGACGGGCTCAAACACAGCAACAGTGGTGAGAATGGTGCAGGACTGGGCAGTGGGGTTTTTGTTGGTTTGTTTATTTCTGTTATCCACTGCCAGTTAGATGGACTTCATGGCATCTGACGAGCAGTAAAGTTTGCAGCCTATGTTTATGTGTTCTATATGACTAAACTCTTAGTCTCTATCGGTGCAATGCTCGCTAAAAGCTCAGCACAGAGCACACAGAAAGAGAAGTACGCATAACTCTTATTTCAATAAGAGAGGCATGAACACTTCGGGAAGAGATCACTAAGGATATAGGTAGTTTAGCAAAGTGTAGTTAAGAAATCAGATGGTGCCCGGCTCTCCAAAAGAATAGTGTCTTGGGTCTTAAAGGATTGTCTTTAAACAATCAGTCATCTAAATGAGGCATCAACTAAATCCATATAGAAGAAGCACATTAACCTGGGTGATCCAGGGATTGCAAATAATTAAATCCAAATCCCAAAGAGGGAATAGTATAATAGTTAAGTATAATAGCTTACATTTTTAACACCTGGTTTGCAAAAGGCTGTGAATGCCAGTGGAAGCCCCAAGTCCATTTTCAGGGTTCCCCACATGGATGAAGCCTCTGGTGAATCCCTTCTGACCAGAGTCCAGAGATGTGAGGAGCCTTGCAGCCCGACAGAGAGCATGGTCATGGCAGATGTAATTAGGCTAACATGTAGCACCTTATCATTGGATCTCCCTTTTGACGCATTTTAAAGTTGTTTCAGTTTTTAATATTTTCTGATTTGTATTTGATTGAGGTTCTTCTGTTTTCTTTGATTTGGGGATTTTTGCTTGTTTCTTCTTTTTGTTTTGTATGTTTTTCTATACATGAAATCCAGGATAGGTAAATCTACAGAGATGGTAACCAGATTCATAATTACCTCCTAGGACCGAGGAGCATGGTAGGGAAGATTGGGGGAAGTGGGGAGCTAACAACAATGACTACAAGAAAGAAGAAAATGTTCTAAAATTAGTTGTGATTTCTCAGTACTTCTTAATATGCTGAACTATTGAATTGCCTGATAGTGAATTATATGCCAATAAAACTGTTTTCCAAAAGAGAGAGGCATGAACAAAGGATGGCCATTGTGAGCATTAACAAGAGAAAGGTTTTATCCTGTGGGAGAAATCTTTGGAAAGCTTCATGGAAGAACAATTCAATTGAGCTTCCAAAGGATGCTTATGATTTCAGGAGAAGTTTAGTGCTGTAAATGTCCCATGCTAGGCTGTGGTACCAGCACGAGCAGCCACAGTTAGAATTCCAGCTCAGTAAGATTATAGGCTATATGTAGAGGTTGTAATTGGGGGATATAATTTGATAGCTAAGTTGCTACCCAGTCTCTGAATGTCTTTATTAATAACGATTTCTGGAAGTTTTTTTTTTATGAAAGATATAGTTAGTGATGGTAGCCTGATATACTGGATTATCCACTAACTTCATTTGTATGTTTATTGAATCCTTGGTTTTGTTTCTTTCAGGAAGTTCATGATCTGTTACAAGACTATGAGTTAAAGTATTGTTATGTGGACAGAAATAAACGAACAGGTAGGATTTCAGTTCTAAGCATCTGATTTCATTTTGATTCTACATATAGTCATTCCAGAGAAAAAGATTACCTGTTCCTGCTTAAACTGGTCCCTGAAAAAATATTCACTCATGTCAAGGATTTTCCAAAACTAGCAGTTAAGTATCTTAAATTTGGATCATTTGGATGGATGCATTGTTCTGAGAGGCTGGAGAGATTTTATAGTAAATGAGTGTTTTCCGTGGACTCCATGGGCCTCAAAGCACACTTCTTGTGGGCTGGAAGACGTTGCTGTTCCCTTGGTGGTGGTTGCCCTGCATGCGCTGACTGTGCTAAATGAACAGAAGACGTTTCTTTGAGCATTAGCATCGCACTTGGTGTGGGGAGATGTCCACACTGCGAGAGCCGCAGGTGCATGATGACCACTTGCGAGAAAGAGCTGGTTGGGTGAAATGACAGGCAGGGTTTCCTGGGCTACTTAAAATCCTTCTCTCGCACTTGCTCGGCACCTGTTTGTCATGTGGTTATAGTTGGATTTGGGTAAACTACATGCTCATGTGGAGCAACTCCACTGTAAGTTCAAATGTAGAGATGGCGGAGGGAGGGAGAAGGGAGGAGAGTCTGAGGGGATGGAGGAAGAGGAAGAAGCATTTCTTTTAGAGAGCCATTCATGTAGAATTTGTGGATTTCCCTGATAGGTCTTCTTAATGGAGGAGGGCTCTAAACATTTTAAATAATATTGCTCAAAATCTTTGTAATATTTACATTTTGCAACAACATATAACAAGTTGATATAACTTTTAGTTTTATAAGGTTCATAAATATATTTTGTGTGCTAGTTCATTGATTTTAAATCTTATATTTGTATCATGCTTTAAATTTTACAAGTTTGCATATTACATATTTAATTTTTTCATGTATTCATTTCTTGATGCTGGAATAACTTCATTAGTTAGACAAGACAGATTTTTAAAATTGTTTTACAGTTTCAAAAGTAAACAGCATGCCAAAGATCATAATCCTGTGTTTTTTTAAATACCATATTGTCCATCAAAAGTATACCACATTGTATGTATGTGTATTGCTTCAATCTAATTAATCTTATTTAAGAAAACCATTAAACGAATTAGAGAATGAACTGCCCTCTTTTGGGGAATTTTAGTTTTAGGTTGTTGTTGTTATTTGCTGTAATTACATTGTTTCAGATCCTTATTATTATACCACAGGCTGTTTGGAATGTGTGTAGGGTGTGTGTGTGTGTGTGTGTGTGCGCACACGCGTGCTCAAGAGTTTCACTACGATCCTCAAATATTCTGTTATTTATATTTTAGTGTATATATGTATGTTTATGAAAATAAAAGCATATGTATACCTTTAGTAGTATATATAGTATATATAGACTTTATGTAGTCTATGTATATGATCACTAAAATAAAAATAAGCGAATATTTTAGTATCATAGTGAAACTCTTAAAATAACTCCCATTTTTAAAATTTGGGCTAGTGATCATGAAATTTGTTCAGTGGGGGAGCAGGGTGGTGGCGGTGGTGTCAGCGTTGAAAACTGGAATAAAAAAGAAAATATCAGGGAAAATATGAATTGCATATGGTAGGAATCAATAATCCTGTTATTTAATCTATATGTGTGTATTGGCTATCAAGTCACAGTTGTAAAATGTCTTTCTTTCTGAGGAACTTGGTTAGCAATGGAAAACATCAGCCTAGACAACGTTGTAATACATTGTGTCTTCTAATACACCGTTTCCTTCTAGCGTTTGTCACGTTACTGAATGGAGAACAAGCCCAGAATGCAATCCAGACATTTCATCACCACTCCTTCCGAGGAAAAGAGTTAGTAGTTCAGCTCCAGCCCACAGATGCTTTGCTGTGCATCACCAACCTGCCCATCTCTTTGACCTTAGAGGAGTTTGAAGAACTTGTCCGTGCTTACGGGAATATTGAAAGATGTTTTCTGGTCTACAGTGAAGTGACTGGCCAGTCCAAGGGCTACGGCTTTGTGGAATACATGAAAAAGGACTTCGCTGCCAAGGCTAGACTGGAGCTCTTGGGGAAACAGTTGGGAGCATCCTCGCTCTTTGCACAGTGGATGGATGTTAATCTCTTGGCCTCCGAGCTCATTCATTCCAAGTGCCTTTGTGTAGATAAACTCCCAAGTGACTACAGGGACTCGGAGCAGCTCTGGCACGTTTTCTCCAGTGTTCACAAACCTGTGTTTTGCCAGGTATGTGTTTTTAAACTGTCCATGTCCTTGTGTGGGTGCCACGTCCTGAGCCCGTGCCGGCCACGGCGACCCTGGGCACAGCAGAAGGAGACCCTGCCGGGCCCTCACCATCCTCACGGTCGTTCGTGAGCCCAGGTCGGTTGTTGCCGCCCCAGGACAGCCCGTCCCTTTGAGGGCCTGCCTGTGCTGCCCCTCTCTGTCAGTGGAAATGTGTGCCCCTAGTGTGGGGGTGTCTGTGCGTGCACGCATGTCTCTTTGTGACGGCTGTAAATACCACAGTAATCCAGCCCCGCTCTAGGCAGTCATGAAAACTTAATCCTCTGAGAGACTGAACATAGATTCCGTTTGCTGAAGGGCCAAACCGTTTTGTGATGTATTTATGAGAATCGGTAAGAGATTCTTGCTACAGAATCATAGAAACCTCTATTAAACTAGAATAACGAGATGTGAAGCCGTTGTTTCTCAGCTGATCCTCCATCCAGGTCTGTCTGCTCCTGAAGGCCGGACTTTCATCCCTCTGCGCTCTTCCCAAAGAGCGCTGCAGTCTCTGCTCTGCACCGGCCATACGCTGTTCTTTGAAATGCTCTCTGAGGTTCAGGAACAAAAAGAGACCGGTAGGGGCAAGATCGGGGCTGGAGAGAGGATGGGATAAAGCGCCCCCCACCCCCACCCCCACCCCAAGTCCTCCCAGGACAGCCCTGGCGACTCTCGAAGAATGGGTAGTGCCTTGTTGTGATGGAAGAAAATTCCTCAGTGCAACTCTCCTGGATTTTCCCCCTCACTAAGGCAGTTTTCAACTTTCTTAAACTCTTTTCAGAAGCCCTATGTCCTGTGTCCTTTGGAAAAACAATCTTATCACAATTACTTTTTTGGAACCCCCCGCCCTCCCGCCAAACCGTCTCCACAATCTTCTGAGCTGACCTCTCTTCCTTGGAGGGAGCTAGCCCAGCCGGTCCCCCTTGGAAGCCTCTGTTTGGAGCGGATCTCGTTGAAGGCCCCAGGGAAGCTAGAGGAGCCCTGGGGGTGTACTGGTTAGGAGTTGGGCTGAGATCCTGAAAGCCAGCAGTCTGAGCCGCTCTCCAGCCCTCGGGAGGAAGATGGGGCTTTGTGCACCCATAAAGAGTTAGAGCTGCCCCTGTGCGTTTCCGAGACTATAACTCTTTGCAGGGTCGCTGTGAGTCAGCATCGATGGCAGTGCCATTTTGGTTTGTTTCACTAGCTTGCATGCTTTACTGAGAGAACTTGTCTGCAGCCACGCGCTGACCCTCGAGTCGTAATTAAAGAGGCTGTGTTTGGAATAAACGCATGCGTATGTGTACCAAAACCTTAGTGGCAATGCTTGTTTGGCTCCCCTCATATTCTGTGTTATAACTGCTCCCCGTACAGATCTGTAACAGCTCGGAGAAGCTTTCTCTCGGGCTTGCGTTCATTTCTTTCTCCTTGGCCTTCTCACTTTCCACCCCCTTTCCTTCCCATGTTCCTTGCCTTCTTATTCACCCTCCTTTTTATCCCGTGTCTTCTTCGGCGTCTTGGTGGGCGGTTCAAAACCACCGGCCAGTCTGGGGGAAAAGCTGGCACTCTCTACCCCCATAAAGTGTTCCCGTCTCAGACACCTACAGGGGTAGTTCCTCCTGTTCTGTTGGTTTACCGTGAGTCAGAATGACGTGATGGCGTGGGGCTTTTGTTGCTGTTGTTTCTCTTAATCATACATTGTTAATGCTGGTCATTGGCATGTGTGTGTGTGTCTACATGTGATAAATGCTATCATCTTACTTTTTGACCTTTCCAATCCCAAGATAGCTATCAAAGAGAGCCTCCCAAACATAAGCATCCCAAAACTTTATGACGCCGGTCTATTTTGTGGCCAATTTCTTATCAAATCTTTGCCCAAGTTTTGAAAGTTGCTTTATCGGTATGCTGTTCTTAAACTCGAAGACGTGGATAGTGATACTCTTTTGAGAGTACATGATTTTTTTTGAGCTTTAGTTGGGGCCTTTGAAACCAAAACGAGAAGAAAAGGCCATCTAAGACAAATCGCATTGTATTATGCATTCCAGAGACGGAGGAGGCTCAGAGGCGAGCTGGTCGAGCTTCACACCTGGCACAGAAATATTTGCTAGAATGTTTGGGGCTGACTGTTCAGTTTCTGCTGAAACACTTCTAAGTGCAGGATGATTAATTACATCACATTAAACCATTACGTCCTAGAGTGGCTCTCATTGAACTGAAATTGCCCTCTCCAAAGCTACCGATGCTGTAGGTAGAAATGATTTTGCCTTTTGGAAAACTTAATGTGATATGACAACTTACGTGAGTGTGAATGTCATAATGAACCAGGAGTAGTAGCACGCACTTTACAATTTTTTCAAAATGCTGATAAATTAACTGTATGGGACTCTTTAGCAGCAAATCTATGAAACTTCAGACTCTTTTTTGGTTTTGGTGGATTGGTATAGACGATTCTGAAGGCAGTCTCTTATCTTGTATTTAAAAAAAGAACAAAATGACTTAATGTATTCCACAAATTTGATTCTAAACTCCTAAAACCCCAAAACCCACTGCTGGGGAGTTGATTCTGACTCAGAGCAACCTTATAGGACAGAGGAGCTTGTCCCCCATAGGATGTCCAAGGCTGCCAGTTGTCATGGAAGTCGGCTGCCACATCTCTCTCCTGCAGAGTGGCTGGGAGCTGCTCAACAGAGCACTTTAATCTCGGTGCCACCAGGGCTCCCCCGCTCCCCAGGTCCAGTTTGGGTTATAGGAACAATAGAGTTGCTAAAGGTCAATATATTTCCTGTCGCCCAGATTGCTGGGTAAAAGAACATGAGAAAAAGGCATTTGAGGACAATGTTAAAAGGCATGAAGAATGTGAAGGAAAAAAATCAATCTGATCCACTTATATAAGAAAATAGAAGGAAGTTAAGCCCCAGAAATAGAAGAAAGGAAATGAAACGGAACCCAGAAAGTATTTAATTTTAACACTAACTTATGAGATGCCACCCCCAGATCGACGCACTGTAAGTGTGCGCATGTCTTCCAGAGACGTGCCGGCTGTCACATTTGTCACTTTATCGTGTAAATGTAGTTAGGATACTTCAGACGGTTCTAAGCTTTGGGGTGTCTTATTTGTTCTTCCGTTTGCTCTTTGTAGCAGTCTGTACAGATCCAGGACTTCAGTATATTTTTACAGGTGGGGGATGGGACCGGACTTGAGTTCTCGTGGCAGGAGTGTATGTAAGGTACCTTCAGAAATAAAGGCTGTATGCTGCAAATGGGGCTTTCACCAACCTGGGCACAGTTTTCTTAAATAAGGTTTGCTTTCAGATACTTGGGGCCCTGGTGGTGTAGTGGTTATGGGTTAGACTGCTAATTGCAATATCAGCAGTTCAACACCACCAGCCAGCTCCTCTGAAGAAAGATAAGGCTTTCTATTCCCGTAAAGAGTGACAATCTCAGAAACTCAATGGGGCCAGTTCTACCCTGTTCTCTATGAGTTGCAGTCAGCTCAATGGCTGTAAGTTTTGTTTGAGTTTTCATATACTTATGAAGCCCTGGTGGCCTAGTGGTAACCGCAAGGTCAGCTGTTCGAAGCTGCCATCTGCTTGGCAGGAGAAAGCTGAGGCTGTGGTTGGAATGGACTCCGTGGTAGTGGGTTTGCTTTTCACTGTTGTTTTTGCTTTTTTCATAAACTTGGCCAAATAGTTCCCCTATCCTCTTCCCTTGGTAATAGGAACTTTATTTTACAAAGAGATAGGCTTAGGTAATTTCCCAGCGTGTTAGTCTGGGTAGACTAGAGGAACAAATCCATGGACACATATATGTGTATAAGAAAGAGGTTTACATACAAGAGGAATTGAACATTGAGAAAACATTGCAGCCTAGTCCAGATCAAGTACGTAAGTCCGATATTAGCCCATATGTCTGATGCCAATCTATAAAGTCCTCTTCAGACTCACAAAACACATGCAGTGATGCCGAATATAGAAGATCACAGGCCAGTGGGTAAGAAAGTCTTAGGTCCGGTGGCGTTGTAAGCATCTCAGCGCTGGCCGGGCTCTCTGTGCCTTCTCCGGCTTCAGAGGTCTGGTTGTGTCCATGTGGCTTGTCTTCTGCAACGTCTCCCAAGGAGTGGCAGAGAGAGAGAACTGTCTCTACTTCCAATGGGGAAGTACCAGATTTCCCAGAATTCTTAGGAGGAGGCCATGCCCACAGAAGTCTCATTGGCTATCTCCAGATTGACAGCCTAGACTCCACCCCTACTCTCTTAATCCTTAAATTGACACCAGATTAGGTCAATTAGGTGTCAGTATGTTTTACTGCCCAGGTATCTGGTGAATTTTTGTTTTAAAGACTTAATTACTCTGCCCTAATATTTTGCTACAGTTTGCCAATTTATATATTTATATATAATATATATCACATTTCTTTAATTTCATACTTTATTTTAAACGTCAAAATAAAATTACTGTAGTTCCTATACATTATACAAATACACATGTATATACATTATATATACTATAAAAGGACTCACTGCCATTAAGTTGATTCTCATAACAACCCTAGTGAATCTGTGTGTGTGTATACATATATATGGTATGCATATAGTGGGCCTGTATCTATCTATCTATCTATCTATCTATCTATCTATCTATCTATCTATCTATCTATCTATCTAATCTATCATCTATCTATCTACTCACTGCCATTGAGTCAATGCCATAACAACCCTATAGGACAGGGTAAAACCCCTGTGTGTTTCTGAGACTATATAACTGTTAATGGGGTTAGAAAGCTCTTTCTCCGATATCTATATAGCTATAGATATTGGAGAAATATACATAAGATATATATATCATGTATAATGTCTGAGGACCACAGTCATTTGGGTTTTGACTTTTAAAGCGAAATGAAAACCAAAGCACTGAAAAGAAAAGACATGATGGAATATTGTCTCTCCTCCTGTCTCCTGGAAGAGCTTCAGCTAAGCATATAGTAAGCTTCTAATTTTCAGAGGAGAGAAGTACATTTTGTTAAGCCAGCATCGTGCTCTATACTGCATTCATGCTTGAATTTGGAAGTGACTGATTGTAAGTAAAAGTATCTCATACCAGAACGTCCCTTTTAACCACATGCATTGTGTCAGCTCGCACAGGATGAAGGTAGTTATGTTGGCGGCTTTGCAGTGGTTGAGTATCACACGGCAGAGCACGCGGAAGAGGCTCAGCAAGCAGCTGCCGGCCTGACCATCCGGGGAAGCAAAGTCCAGGTTTCCTTCTGCGCGCCAGGGGCCCCGGGCCGGAGCACGTTAGCCGCGCTGATAGCAGCTCAAGGAGTGGTAAGCTTCCGCCCCCTCCTTAGGCTATAGAGGTCATGCTGTCGCCCCTGTTTTCTGTGACCCATATTGCCAGCCATTCTTTTCTTCACTCTCACCGTCATTTCCTCCAGATTTCCCTTTGTTGGCTTAGACTTGCAGTTTGCCATTCTGAACTGGTCTAGTCACCCACTTCTGCAGCCAGCCTTCTGTGCCTTCTTGGAGAAAAACAGTTAGGTGGCTTGATGCCACTGGAAATGCATGGCTGCGTTTATAGCTGGCCCTCAGTGTTGCCAACAAATGGTTAGCTTATTGCTAATCAGCTCTTTTCCATTTTCAACACCACTTCTCTCAAACCTTCGTTTTATTCTCATTTCTCTATTCTCATTTTCTTTTCCTTCCTTTCTTTTTAAAAAAATAATTTTATCGGGGGTTCGCACAACTCTTATCACCATCCATCCATCCATCCATTGTGCCAAGCACATTTGTACATTTGTTGCCATCATCATTCTCAAAACATTTTCTTTCTACTGGAGCCCTTGGCATCAGCTCCTCATTTCCCCCCTTCCTTTCCCACCCTTCCTCCCTCACGAACCTTTGATCATTTATAAATTATTATTATTTTTGCATGTCTTACACTGTGTGTCTCCCTTCATCCACTTTTCTGTTGTCCATCCCCCGGGGAGGGGTTTATATGATCGGTTCCTTCTATTCCTATTTTCTCAGACGTGTATGACTCCTACTTTATAAAAGCTGCGCTCAGTCATTCCACTTTTCTCACACCTGCCAGCAAATGCATCACCATGTACTCCCTCGCATCTTTGACTTCCTTCTCTGCCCTTGGGTAACACAAACTGTTACACACACGCTGCTAACCAGATGGTTGGAAGTTTGAGTCCACCCTGAGACATTTCTGAAGAAAGGTGGCAACCTACTTCCCAACATTAAGCCATTGAAACCCCATGAAAAGCAGTTCTACTCAGACACACGCGGGGTCACCTTGACTTGGAATTGACTCAACCTCGGTTGACAGTTTTTTCTCTTTTCATGCGCTTCACAGCTATGTGTTGGGTATCTATAAGGTGCTGCTGTTCCTCTGAGGTGCCCCCAAGTCAGTTCCAACCTGTCCTAAGCAAATTGTATTTATCATTAAATAGGTGCTATTAGATCAATGAGACTTTCTAGAGGAAAATATGAAAGAATTACTTCTGCATTCATGGGTGTTCTAATGTTTCCTACTTCTGTGTTCATTGAAGATGCACAGTAGTCAAAAGGGCTTACTTCCAGAGCCCAATCCAGCCCAGATCATGAAAAGTCTAAACAACCCTGCCATGTTACAAGTTCTTCTACAGCCCCCGCTGTGTGGACGAGCTGTTAAACCAGGTAAGGGGGTGTCAACCGAAGGGTCACATGCTAGCGAGGACTTAATCTTTCCTTTTTACTATAAATGTTCAATATTAAACCTTTGGTGTAGCTTCTAGTTGACTTGAATTTATAGACTAGGTAATAATTGACTCACTATTGTATAATAATCTATATTAATAAAGACTATGATACTATTCTATATAACACTTTCAGCTGAATTGCTTTGTTAAAAAGTATTAGAAATGTGTTTCCTCTTCCCTTTAAAGAGATTACCAGCTTTATTTATTTTTTAAAGCAGTTGTAGTTTTAGAGAAAACTTGATCAGATAGTATGGCGCGTTCTCATATACAAGGGAGGGGACCTCAAAAAGTTGGACAATTTTCATTTTCATTTTCCATGAACTTAAAAAGAATGCTCTTCCTTCTGCCCCTATAGATGTTAAGCCAAGCCCAGACTCATTGCAGTTGAGTTGAATTCTGACTCATAGGGACCCAGAGTAGGCCTGTTTCATGGAGTTTCCCAGACTGTAAATATTTACAGAAGCAGACTCACCTCGTCTTTCTCCTTCCTATGCGCGCAGGCTGTCGGGGATGAGTCATTACGATGCACTGGTATTAACTGAAGTCGGTAGTTTATGTCAGGGTTCATTTTTTGTGTTACATATTTCTGTGGGAATTGACAAGTACATAATGTCATAAAACCATCATTATGGTACCACAGGTGTTACCACCCTAAAAATATTTTCCGTCCTCTACTAATTTATCCTTCCTTCCTCCTCCTGGCTTTATCATTTAGTGTAGGTTTGCCTTCCAAAGTATCATATTGTTGGAACCATATGTCATCTTTTTAGACTGGCTTTCTTTTTCTTATCAATGTGCACATAAGGTTCCTCCATGTTCCTCTGTGGCTGGTAGCCCATTTCTTTTTATTGCTGAGTAATACCCCATTTTGTGGCTGTATCGGTGATTTGCTAGGTGATTTGCTTATCCATTAACCTTTTGCAGAACATTTGGTTGCTTTCAGTTTGGGGTGCTTATGAATAAAGCCAGGCTAATTCTTCATGTATAGGTTTTTGTGAAGATATAAGTTTTCAACTCATTTTGATTAAGTACACAGGACTATGATGGTTGGATCATAAGGTAAGGCTATATTTATTTAGCTTTACTTCCAAACCATCTTCTGAAGTGGCCATTCCATTTTGCATTTCCATCAGCAGTGAATAAGAGTTCCTGTTGCTCCACATGCTCACCAGCATTTGATGTTGTCAGTGCTTTGGAGTATAGCAATTCTGATGGGTGTATAGTAGCAGCTCATTGTTGTTTTAATCCTCCTTGTGTTAGTCTGGGTAGACTAGAGAAACAAATTCATAAACACGCATATGTATATAAGAGAGAGTTTTATATAAAGGGTAATTTTACATTAAGAAAACATCCTAACCTAGTCCAAGGCCATGAGTCTGATATTAGCCCATATGTCTGATACCAATCTATAAAGACCTCTTCAGAGTCATGAAACACATGCAATGAAGCCAAATGCAGGACGATCACAAGCCAGTGGGTAGAAGGTCTTTGGGTCCAGTGGCGTTGTAAGCATCTGAGTGCTGGCAGGGGTCTCTCTGTGGCTTCTCCGGCTTCAGAGGTCTGGTTGCATCAGGGCAGGTCCATGTGGCTTTTCCAGCTCGGGACACTAGGGTAGTTCCTTGTGTCTTGTCAGATGCAATGTCTCCCAGGGAAGTCAGTAGAGAGAGGGAGGTGTCTCTTGCCTCCAAGGAGGAAGTACCAGATTTCCCAGAATTGTCAGGAGAAAGCCATGCCCACACAGACACCTGAATGGCTATGATCTGATTGACAGGCTAGACTCCACACCTACACGCTTAATTCTTAAATTGACAATTATGTAACTACCACACTCCTTTTTGCCGTAAAATTGTTTCATTGTATAAAATATGGCAAAGACATTATTATTTCATGAATTTCAAGTAGTGTGCTTCTATTTTAAATTTTCTCCTCAAAGAACTTACCTTTTGAACTTCATATATATAAAGATAAATCATATAAGGATAAGTCAAAAGATACTGCTATTTAACAAAAATCTGAATAATTTTTGAATAATATGAATAAAAGTATGAATAATAAAAAATTTAAAACCAAAATATGAATATGTGAAGCTGTTATTTTTCAATAAATCCTCCATCTAAGTCTTATAAAGGTACTGTTTCCATCTCTCTAATCCAGGGGTCCTCAAACTACGGCCCACGGGCCACATGCTTTGCGCCAAGGACATTTATCTGGCCCGCTAGTTGTTTTTGCCCCGTTTTGGTTTTTTTACTTCAAAATAAGATATGTGCAGTATGCATAGGAATTTGTTCATAGTTTTTTAAAATATAGTCTGGCCCTCCAACGGGTCTGCGGGGCAGTGAACTGGCCCCCTGTTTAAAAAGTTTGAAGACCCCTGCTCTAATCCTTCAACAAAGAATTCTACACTCTGTGATTTTCACCAGTTTTGGCACCCTTGAGGAATGTTTTCATTAGAATGTATTTTTGAGTTTGAGAAACAAAAAGAAACGTGAAGGGGCAAGGCCTGGCCTGCCAGGTAGATGGAATTCTAGTAGAACAGGACTTAAGTACTTTCAAACAATGAGCAGGTGCCTTATTGTGATGGGGAAAAAGAATCCTTGTTTCAGCTTGCCTGGTCTTTTCCCCAATGCCATTTTCCTCTCTTTTTTTTTCTCTTCCTTTCATTGTATTTCTGTTAAGCCTCCATGGTCATCCTACGTCTGACAAGAAATTTATCATGGGCCTCCCTTTGGAGTCCCCCCAAACGGTCACCATAATCATCTGAGCTCTGACCTCTTGGCCTTGAACCAAACTAGCCCAGCCACTGTGCTGATTGGATTTCTCTTTTGAAGGTAACTTTGCAAGACTAAGCCATTGGCTGACTGAGAGGATTTGTCCGCAGCCGTCTACTGATCACAGACGTGCTTGAGCCCAGTTTGCTGGCATAAGCCTGTGCATGTGTAAGACAGAGCCCCAGTGACCATACTCTTTGCCTTACCCTCATACATAAAAGGGTAATGTTAACATTTTCTGGAATTGCATGTTAGCATTGTGTATTAGACACTGGGCTGCCAATCACTAGGTCAGCAGTTTGGGACCCCTAGCTGCATGGGAAGAGAAAGGTAAAAGTGCTCCTGTAAAGATGTACCATGTCCGACATCCTATGGAGAGTACTGTGGATTAGAATCAACTCGATGGCAAGTGAACGCTAAGTTTCTTGGAAAAGAGGAATGGAAATATAATGGAAATTAGTTAGAGATGTGAATATCCTTTGTAATCAGGCAGAGAGCATTGAAGAGATGATTATCGTAGAGGTAAACCAATTCCAAATTCGCTGCCATCGAGTCAGTGCTGACTCATAGTGACCCCCATGGATTTCCAAGACTGTCTACAGGAGTAGAGAGTCAAGCGTTACTCCCTTGGAGCTGCTGGTTGTTTTGAACTGCTGACCATGTGGATTGTAGCCCAATGCATAACCACTATACCACCGGGGAGCCTATAGGATAACTAAAGTAGATGAAAGTTAGGTAAAAATGTAACATTGTATTTGATCATTATGTTAGACAGGGTTCTCTATAGAGAAACAAAACCAGAACGCTAATAATTATATATATATATTTATATAGATAGATATATAACATAAGAAATAAACAGTTAATTAATCTATAAAGCAGTACAAATGGCTCAGTGCAACTCACTCCTGTGACATCGCTGTGAGACACTGGCAGTCCTTCAAGTCTTGAGGGCCACCGGGTAGTCCTCTGTAGAGCAATTCAGGCTATCTGGCCACAGGCAGCAAACAGCAAGGCAGGCAGGTCACCAACAGTCAGCCAGATGACAGGGTCCGACAGTCCCCAACTCAAGTGATGCAAATTCCAATTGTGTGGCGAAGCAGGTCTTGAAGGAACCTCAAATAACAGCGACACAGTCCACGGGTTAAGTGTCCCACAGGTAGTGTAGCTTGCAAATGGAGGCACAGAACAAGCAAGGCAGCCGCACACTGGTCTGATGATCAAAGAGCGAGAGACAAGAAAAGCAAGGCTCGCTGAGCCATTTATCTCTCTGCCCTTCAGTTAATCCCACGTGTGTTCATTGGCCATGTTGGCACAATAAACGTTAACTATCTCGATCTTCCTTCAGACCTATTTAAATGCATTAGGTTTTTGTTGTAAGTGAAGGAGAAATCCATGTGGATGACGCCCCTGGAGAGTCCCCTCTGCACACCCAGCAGGGATGGGCGTGTCCTTGCTGTCCTGCAGAGTGCATTTGAGAGTGGATAATGGCAGATGTCGAGAGGTTAAAATTTAACACCTTATCATTTGGTCTCTTATTTTACCCATTTGAAAGTGGCTCTAGTTTTTAATATTTTCTGCTTTCTTTTCGATTGAGCAGAGATCTGTGTTGACTTCAGATGGTTCTTGTCTGAAAACAGAAAATACCAGGAAAATGTTTACTTGTGTTTTATTGACTATGCAAAGGCATTGGACTATGTAGACCATAGCAAACAGTGGCGAATATTGAGAAGGCTGGGATTCCAGAGCGCTGGATTGTACTCCTGTGGAGCCCAGGCTTGGACCAAGAGGCAGTCACTTGAACAGAACACGGGGATTCTTGGTGCCTTCAAATCAGGAAAGAGCGCCATCAGAACAGTACCCTGTCACCATAATTATTCAGCCTATGTGCTAAGCAAATAATGCTAGAAGCTAAAGTGTATGAAAAAGAACAAGGCATCAGGATTTGAGGAAGGTTTACTAACAACCCGAGCTATGCAGAGGGCGTTCTTGCTTGCTGGAAGTGAGGAGGACTTGCAGCACTCGCTGATGGTCAGGGTACGACTGCAGCCTTCTGCAGAGATTGCAACTCCCTGCGAAGCAGCAGACCCCATCATGCCAAACACAGAGGAGACGGGAGCTGTCAAGGATTTCATCCTGTTGGCATCCACAGTCAACACTCATGGAAGCAGCGATCGAGAAATCACACCAATCTCCAGCACAGAACCTCTTCCAAGTGTTAAAGAACAAAGATGTCGCTTTGAGAACAAAGGTGCACCTGATCCAAGCTATATTTTCATTGGCCTCGTGGCGTGTTAGAGATGGACAACATCATCAGAACAAAAAAATCTTACCATAGTGAATGATAGGGGGAGTGTGGAATGGAGATCCAAAGCCCATTAGTAGGCCACTGGAGACCCCCTTGCAGAGGTATCTTGGGGAGGAGATGAGCCAGTCAGGGGGGGAATGTAACAACGATGAAAAATACAACTTTCCTCTAGTTCCTAAATGTTTCCTCCCCGCTCCCACTACCATGACTAGAATTCGACCTTGCAAGTCTGGCTAGACCAGAGGATGTACACTGGTACAGATAGGTACTGAAAATACAGGGAACCCAGGGCGGATGAGCCCTACAGGACCAGTGGTGTGAGTGGCAAAACAGGGAGGGTAATTGGAGAGTGGGTAGGAAAGAGGGAACCAATTACAAGGAACTATATGTGACCTCCTCCCTGGGGGACAGACAACCAAAAAGTGGGTGAAGGGAGACGTCGGACAGGCCAAGATATGACAAAATAACAATTTATAAACTATCAAGGGCTCATGAGGGAGAGGGGAGCGGGGAGGGAGGGGAAAAATGAGGACCTAATGCCGGGGGTTTAAGTGGAGAGAAAATGTTTTGAGAATGATGAGGGCAATGAATGTACAAATGCACTTTACACAATTGATGTGTGTATGGATTGTGATAAAAATTGTATGAGCCCCTAATAAAATGATTTTTAAAAAGATGGACAACAAATAATAAGGAAGACAGGCAGAGTATTGATGCATTTTCATTGTGTTGGTGAAGAATATTGAACATCCCATGGAATGCCTGAAGAACAAGCAAGTCTTTATTTGAAGAAGCGTACCAAAAATGCTTCTCGGAAGCACGAATGAAGAGACTGCATCTCGTGTCTTTAGACATGTAATTAGTGGAGACCAGTCCCTGGAAATAGATGATCATGCTTGGTGAAGAAGAGGGTCAGCAAAAAGGAGGAAGGCCTGTGATGACATGCATTGACACAGTGGCTGCATCAACGAGCTCAAAACAATAATTGTGAGGATCCCAGTAGTTGATTCTTTCTGTTGAGCATAGAGCTGCTGTGAATTGGAACTGACTTGCTGATGCCTGACAGCAACAAAACCACATTATGCAGCCTGTGGTAGTTACGTAATCTCATGTCAACTTGAGGATATGAAGAGTGAAGGGGTGGAGTCTAGCCTGTCAATCAGGTCACAGCCTGATGATGTCTCCTTGTGGGTGTGGCCTTCTCATGAGGATTCTGGGAACTTCCTCTCTCTCTCTCCTTCACGTTCCTGTTGAAGAGCCACTTGGAGACCCTCCCCAGCGCTGAGACGCTTCCACCGACACTGCATCCATAAGACTTTTCACCCACCGGCCTGTGATCTTCCTGCATTCAGCATCATTGCTTGTGCTGCGTGAGTCTGAAGAAGAATTTATGGACTAATATCAGACATATGGGCTAATCTCAGACTAATGGTTGATCTGGACTGGAATGGGATGTTTTCTCAATATAGAATTGCTTTTTGATATAAACCTCTCTCTTGCTCACATATGAATGTCAATGATTTTGCTTCTGTAGTCAACCTGGTCTAACACACAGCCCAAGATTGTATTGGCATCTAAAGGAGTTTACTACACTTTGAGAAAGTATTGAGTAAGCCTTTAGACCATGGACTGTCTATAGTGGTCCCACCCCAGTATTATTTTGTTTCTTCTTTTCTCTTCCAGAAGTTTTATAATTTTAACTCTTGCCTTTCAGTCTGAGCTCTGTTCTGCCATTTTGAGTCAATTGTTGTTTATGTGAGGTAGGAGTCTTGGTTTGTTTTTATTTATACGTATGGTAAGTACTAACATCATTTATTCAAAAGATTCTCCTTTTCCATGTAATTTATTGGCGTTTTTATGAAACAGTCAGTTGACCATATAACAGAGGTTTCAAAAAGTTCAAGGAGATTCCAGTATCTTTTAACTCCATTTTTCTGTGAACTTTCTGAAGCTCCATCATATAGTTGGGCCTATGAGGGTGTTTCTAAAAGTTGTTGGAAAAGAACACTGTTGTCTTTTAACTCACTTTTCCACCAATTATTTGATAACCCCATGTATTTCTGGATTCTCTTCTTTTTCATTGATCTAAAGGTCTGTCTTGATAAATATAGCTTTATAACAAGCCCTGAAATCGAGTAATCTATATCCTCTAAAAATGCTTTGAGATTCATTCTGTTTAAACTTAGTATTTTCCTTTAATTTTTTTCTTTAATCGGTGAGCAATTTATGTGGTTCTACAATATTTGTGCTCCCCCCCCCAACTATTTGGTTATTAGCTTCTAATTTAATTCAGTTGTGATCAGAGAACATATTTTGTACAATTCAAACTCATTTATATGTATTGACACTTTTTTGATGGCCCAGAATATAGACTAAATTGATAACTCATGTACATTTAAGAAGAAGGCATATACTCTTGTTGCCGAATGGGATGTTGTATAAATGTTAATTAAATGACTTTGTGGATAGTGATGTTCAGGTCTTCTCTGTCCTTACTGATTTTCTGCCCATTTAGCCTCTGAAGCACCATGGGATACCTAGCCAAGAAGTTAAGGGTAGTTAAGCTGTTGGCCTTTATAGAGTGTTTTGCTTTTGTTTTTGATGTTTTGAATAAAGCAGCGTTGTGTTTAGTTAAAGCTGTGAAATACATACATTTTAGTGCCTTACAACAAGATACTGTGGCTTCCTGAAAAAGAGAGGGGTTGTCTAGTCAGATTTGTGGGTTTGTGTGCATTTCTTTTCAGTTCTGTCAGTTTTTGCTTTAGGTACTTTTGTTACTCTGTGCATTGAAGATGGTTGCATCCGTTATTGTTATGAAATTATGAGATTTTGGATCAAAGAATATTATCAGGACTAATTATGATCATTTACATTTATTCCTGATAATATGCTTTGGGCTGATGCTTACATCAAGACAGCTACTCCAGTTTTTAAAATTTATGTTAGCATATCTTTTACTAATTAAAATATTTTTACATGGCCAGTGGACTGATCTCTTAGGTTATCTTTGAAGAACATTTTCTCATGTTCACAGTGGTGGTACTGAGTCCTCCGTCAATAATCTAGAACTTTAAAAATATTTTGGCATCTTTTAGTTATGGTTCCCACATTTTGGAGGAAAAGATTCTTATTTATCTTGCATAGATGATCAATCTAGGCCTTTTAGATTTTTGGCCCTACATGGTCTTTAATATAATTAGGATGAATCGATAGATATATCTTAAAGAAACCTATATAGAATGGGCTTCAAATCCAAACTTAAACTTAAACAAACAAACAAACAAACAGAACCATGTCTTTCCCTGGATGGTGGAAACGGTTAAGACTCTGCTACTAAAGCAGAGGTTGTGGTTTGAATCCCCCCGGAGGACCTCGAAAGATACGCCTTCTGGTCCTTTCCTAAAGCTCACAGCACTGAAAACCCGATGAACAGAGTTTTGACTCTGAGGCACGTGGGTCATCACGAGTCAGAATCCACTCAATGGCAACCTGTGTGGTTTAGGGCACCCTAGTAAGTGCTCTCCAATAAGCATTGGTAATAAGTGCTCTCCAATAAGCATTGGCTGCTAGCCAATCAGGTCCATGGTTCAAATTCACCAGTGCTCCTCTGGAGAAAGCGGAAACTGTCTGCTCCTGTAAAGATTTATAGCCTCAGAAATCCTGCGTAGGTTCGATATGGGTTGGAATCACCTTGGTTGTAGTTGGTTTGGGGTATTGATTTCTGTTTACCAAGCGACTCTTCCTCATGATGAAATATACCCCATTATCTAACATGGAAATTTGTTTATTTTTTTAAAAAGACAAAATCCTCGTTAAGAATCAGTTGTCTAAAGACATAATAGGCTGTTGGCAAGTAATCGGTTCCATGTTTAAGCAGTGTTGAACTTGTAAGGCTAATACATATAACTTTAAAATGTTTTGGATCTTTAGATAGTTTTGAAGTATTCTGTATTCTACCTCTGATGACTCTTCTATATTGCCAGAGAATTTTGTGTCTTCTGACCCTTCCTAGGCACTTCTATTTATAATAATTACATGAATTGGCTGCATATATTTTCTGTTTCATGGTGTTTACTTTGTTTATATGTATTATCCACTCTGAAACCTCTCTTTTGAAATGGACTCTGATATTTGGGCTCTTTGATTTTTAAAGAGTGTGCATTTATTCCTTTTGTCAGCTGTATACAGTTTTTGCTTTTATTGTTTTCTTAATATGGAGTTTCTTCCCAATTGAGACCACATTTTGTCTCTTCCTCCCCCCCCCCCACTTCTTTGTTGTCCATCCAAGTTGCCCCAAATTAACACGAGTTCCATCAGCACGATCCTTATCAAACAGATGGACGAGTAAGCCTGGGCTGGGTGTCTTGCCATGACAGTTGAAGGTGTTAGAATTTTATAACCAATTCCAGGGTTGCCTCACCAGGAGAGGAGCCTACCATTTTCTGACCAATGACAAGGTCAGTGTGTCATTGAACTTCCCATGGATGTGTGTAAAATTGAGAATAATAGTCACTTGCCCTTTTTGAAGCTTGTTTTATTTTTTTAAATTTCCATATATATCATAAAGTTAAATGTTTACTTCTGTTTTCTTAAAACAGTTCTTGGAGCCTCTCACAGCTTGCCACATCTGATGAATCCATCCATCTCCCCCGCGTTTTTACATTTGAATAAAGCACATCAGGTATATCAATAACATCAAGTACTGAAGCATCAACAATTTGGAATGAACATTTGGTTTGTTCTTAACATTTGAAGTTCTCAAGAAATCAAATGAGTGTTTTGCTTTGCTTTTCAAGAAAAATTTAGTAAAAAGTATAGCTACATAAAGGGTAACAAGCACATCCGATCCAATGAAGCTAATCAAGGTAGCAGAGTTGTGTATATATTTTGATTATTATTTATTGATCCTTCCTAGAAGAGGTATATTTTGTGGTGTGTTTTGCAATATAGTCTTTATTAGAAATTAACCACTATATTTAAAAAAGACTTGTTACTTAGTCTTAACTTAAAAATATGTACAGTTAAAAAAAAAGAACAATAACTCAATTCTATACATTTAATCAATTTCATAAAAATAATTCATCTATTTAGGAGAATACGGAATGTGTTTCTTACATTTATTATGTACATATTTATTAAATATTTTATATATAAATATCCCTTATGTTGGTGATACACTTTACTCATTAATTTACACATTGATCTGTTTAAGCCTGTATCTATATAGAATATTAAGAGCCAGTCAAAGCTAATATCTCACAGGTGCTTAATTTAGGTGGAACTAATGAATGGCTGGTCCTAAACTTAGATTTGTAAGTAAAGACCTATCTTTTATTCATTAAAAAAAAATCCTTAGCATCTTATTTAGGACCTGGTACATTATTATTATTCATTTAGTCAACATATATTATTTTGAATTTAAAACTTGTACTGGACACTCTGCTAGGCATTTAGGCTGGCAATTAAGAAAACATTCATAGTCCTTATTGTATAGAAATTCGACCAAAAAAGAAAATCAATGTTAAACAATCACAGTAGGGTATGAAGAAGACCATGAGAGGGGAGTTCAGATGACTAAGGATATTCCCATTGATTTAGGATTATAAACAAAAACGCTCAAGTTTTGCCTGTAAGGCCTTCCACCATCTGGTGCTCCTTTTCAAGCTAATTGCCCATTACTGTTCTTAACACATGGGAGTCGGGTGGTATAGAGGTTACCCATTGGGCTGCGATCGGCAGTTGAGACCCACCGGCAGCTCCACAGAGAAAGACGGGACCTTCCACTCCCGTGTCGTCCCGGACCCACAGGGTGTCTCTGTGCGCCGACACTGACTTGACGGCAGTGAGTGAGTGTGAGTTCTTAGCGCTGGTGACAGTGGTTATACGTTGGGTGCTAACCAGAATGGCCGCGGCTCAAAACCACCAGCTCCTCCGTCGTAGAAAAGTTTTCTACTCCGGGAAAGTGACCGTCTCTGACCCCCTGGGGAGTGCCACCGGCCCTGCAGTGTCACCAGGAGTGCCATTGGGCTCCGTAGCAGTGAGTTTATGTTTTGAGTTTCTAGCTTATGGTCCTTGAGCTGGGACCTTGTTTCTGTCCGCTGGGGTCTTTGTGCCAGCTGTTTCTTCTGCCTAGTTCCCCACCCCATTGTCACCTAACCTCCCTGCTTCCCCCCCTTTCAGTTTACGAGTTAGTTCTGCAGGAAAACCTTCCTTGAACTTCAGTCTGAATCAAGTCCCTTCACTATTGTTTCCATAGTTCCTTGTGTGTTGCCCTCATATCTGTATCACCATTTGTAATGATACGTTTTTAAAAGCATTCATTAATGCCCCCCACCCCCCGGAGACTGTAAGAGCCACGAGAGCAGAACCTCTGACTGGGTTTCTAATTACATAGCTCAGTGCCGGACACACACAGTGCACAGTAAATCAATGTTGAAGGCTGGGTGACTAAAGAAATGATTGAAGATCCCGATCCTATAGGCAGAAAGGAGTGAGGGGAGGAGTGGAGCAGAGACAGCGAAGGAAGACTGGGTGTGGAAGTAGGCGCACGACCACCTCGAGTATTGAGGGCATTAGTGTGGCCCAAAGTGGGAAAGTGGGGTCCTGGGTGAAAGACGGTTGCCTTTGCTCAGATTACTGTAGAAATGATCTATCAAACGAATCAGGTTATACAGCAAATAGCTTTGTCCAAATTAAGCTAAATTAATGTTTTATCCTTTTTACAGAGCTCCGTCCTGGGCAATGCTTCTAGTTTGTTCCTTCAAAATCTGTCTCATGTACCACTGGCACAGCAACAGTTGCTGAAGTTTGAGAATATCCAAACCAATAATGTGAGTATGGTTTGGTCTTGTGAAGAGGAATGCATTCCTTTCCTACCATCAGGCTGTTGGACCGTTGGCTGTCAATGTATTCTCACATTATGATCGTAGCATATTTTAACTGCCATGGAGGGAAAAAGTCTTATTGTTCCCCTTCTTTTACAGAAGCCTGGCTTACTTGGGGAACCCCCAATGATCGCACTGCAAACTGCCCTGGGGCTGGGGTCACCGCGTCCGTGGAAAACTGAGTTGGGAAACCATGGAGAAGCACATAAAAGTACACAATGCCTATTTGCCAATCGACCACTACGCAGTCAGATTTCATATTTGAATGTTTAGCAAAAGAGAGGTTACTTTTGAGTTTAATTTAGCCATTAGAAACTTTAAGAAAGTTTCTTGACTTTTCCTTAGAAAAAAACAAAAACGTTATTGCAATCCAGTATAGGCTTTTCTGTTTAGAATATTAGAAAACCATTGCTAAGCGTGCCCCTGTTGTACATGTGTGAATAGTTCCTGAAGGGTCCCAGCAGCATGGGGTGCATTGAAAACGCACATGCCTCCACCCTCCACCAGGCTGACAAGACAGACCGTAGATAATCCTTTCATCCTTGCCCAGATAAGGACCCTCAGCGCTTATCAGAGAAACCACTGACCTTTGTAAAGTTAGGGCTTGGTTATGGAATTGTATAATTTTAAAATGTCACTGTCAAATAAGTGCAAGAAAGCAGCATGCGTACTATGTGCTTCTGAAAAAGGTGACAAAATTAAAACAGAACTGATCTCTTTTTAGAAAATTAAGAATCTGGTACCCAACCCACTGCCATTGCATTAATTCTAACGTATAGTGACCCTATGTAGGCCTTCCAAGGCTGTGCATCTTTACGGAAGCAGACAGCCTCATCTTTTTATTCAGGAGCGGCTGGTAGGTTTGAACTGCAAACTTTGTAGTTAGCCGTCCAACGCTTAGCTGACAGTATCACTAGGGCCCCTTAGGCGTACGGTGCTGTCCCACAGTTACTTATTTGGATGTGGGCTTGAAAGGGACTTGCAGTTCAGAGCAGAGTTGGAATATGAGTGGAAGTGAACATGTGGCAGGAAAGCAGAAGAGCTACCCTTCATTTAAGAACTCAGTTAAATATGGATTTCTTATGCAGCTTTTAGTGCATGAAACCAACAGGCCAAATGATCGAACAACTCATTCACTTCCAACTGTTGGAATGAACTGGACAAAAGTTAAACCAATGTATAGACAAGCCTATGTGCAAAATGAGCTTTATGGTACAATGAGGTAGGTCTTCCTAAAAACTCAGTTTTTAGCCAATAGATGCTTATGTAAATATTTTTATTGGTGGCAGATTAAATAATAAGCCATTTGCTTTAGCATTTGCTGCTTTAAGAGTACTGTGATAATTCGAAATGTCCAAATTAATTAAGAAACAAGTAATTTATATCCCAGAGGAACTTATTGAAGGCACTCTTTACCTTGACTGCAGCCTTCAAACTCAACAGCCATCTGGTCGATGCCGACTCATAGTGTGACATTATAGGGTAGAACTGGCTCTGTGAGTTTCTAAGACTGTAACTCTTTATGGGAGTAGAAAGTCTCATCTTTTTCCCACAGTGCGGCTGGTAGTTTCAAACTGCTGACCTTGTGGTTAGCAGCCCAACTTGTAGCCACTATGCTACCAGGTAGTCTTAAGATACCCAAGATTAACTTGCATCTTTTCAGGAGTGTTATACCTTTTGAATATAATTGCATAGATACGATTTCTACTTTCAGACCAAGTGCTTTTCAAACTTAGTATTCAAATGAATCTAGTAGTTTTGTTTGTACATCTTTTTATCTTGGAAATGGCAAAAAAAACCCACCTAGGTTTAGAATGGCACCCTGGTGGCACAATTGGTAAAGAGTTTGGCTGCCAACCACAAGGTCATCAATTCAAATCCGAGCCTGTGGGCAGAGAAGTTTTGAATGCAGGTTCAAAATAAGTTGGAATGAGTGTGTGTGAGTCAGAATTAATTCAATGACAGTAAGCTTGGTTTGGGAATTTCAGTTACTCCTGAGCATGAAAATGAGCATGTCTACTCCCCTGAAGATTGACAGTCTCAAAAACACGAAGAAGCAGTTCTAGTGCTTCTGATTGTCTGGAGGTTGCCGAGTCCGAATTAACCTGGTGGCAGTGGGTATGTGTGGATTTTAGGTTCCAGTTGCTAAGCTTACCTTTTGAATATAACTGTGCTCTAAAGCAGAGCCAAACCCACTGCCAGAGTCAGTTCTCACTCATCGAGACCCTAGATAGGGTTTCCAAAGCTATCAATTGCTACTGGAGCCAAAAGCCTAATCTCTCTCCCATGAAGCAGCTGGCGCGTTTGCCATCCAATGCTTACCCAACAGCTCCGTACCAAATAGTTTGCTATGTAATCATCACAACAAAATCAAAAGAATTATAGTGGCTATTCTCAACTAAAAGCCTTTTCCATTTGTGGTTCTCTACAGCAGCTAATGTGATTCCAACTCAAGCAACCGTAACAGCTGGAATGGGCATGTTACCATACTTTCCCAGTCAACTCAGTTTGGGACAAGCTGGACCAGGGCACAGTAGCACTCCAGAGAAAAAGCCAGCCACGGTGGGAATGACAGAAGGGACCTTCTCAGGGTCGCAGACTTATCTTCAGAGCATTCCAAATCTCACAGCTGGCGGTTTGCTGACGGTACACCCTAAGCAACAGCACAGTCAGCCAAAGGACACTGCTATAAGCTTAGGGGTAAGAGACGCTATGCTTTTAATGAATTGTAAATGAAATGGTTTGAATCACGAGGCTGCTATTCCTGTAGCTTGTTTAATACGTGGCATTATTTATGAAGTATCAGAAAGCAATCCAAGCTATTTTTAAATATCAAAAAAAGTAATGTACTTAACTTACTTAAATGTGATTGCAAATTAGAGAATTGCTAGGTCAATGAAGTGATGACTCTTTAGAGTTTATATTTGCTTCTCAAAGTAGAAGAATGCATTCTTTAAAAAAAAACAAAAAACACCCTAGTCTTATAAACAACCAAACACAGAAGAAAATGAATCCTTTGCTAACTTATGCCAGGTGACTTTTCGACTGCTTAATTACCTGCCGATTTGCGTGAAGTAAAATCATCTTAATTTTGTGAAATGGTTGTCATATGTGTAAAGTAATTCGAACATGGATTCTTTATTGTTAGCAATATTTGTTAATCTGAGAAATTTAAGGTGTGCATGCTTTTCAAAAATATTTGATAGTTTACAGCTGGCTTTGATTTATAAGCTAGTTTAAGAATTTTGAAGCTCAAGAAGTTTCTGAGGACCATTCATACCCAATTTTCTAGTGATATTATTTATAAGACTTGCTTACAAATAAATAAAAAAAATATTTATTTTTACACTTATTTACTGTATTTTTATTTATTTATTTTTACACTTATTTTCTGTATTTTAAATGTATATTCTATGACTAAAGTAATACTTTATTATTGGAAGATAGAAGTGATTTTATTTTAACAGCTAAATAGCAAAGCCAATTGTTACATTAAGATTTTCAAAATAGGAGCCATACTGTCTCCAGTCAGCGCCACATTGGGCGACTAGTGAGGCGTCCGACCTGCAGCCACTGAGCCGCCGCTCTGCCTTCAGTGCGAGTCCGGCCGCTCAGCAGCTTTCTCCCTCTGTCTTGCAACCATGTCCAGCAATGAAAATGCAAATTCACCAGCTGCCCGGTTTAACAGATTCAAGAACAAGGGCAAAGACAGCTCGGAAATGAGGTGGCGCCGCATCGAGGTTAATGTGGAGCTGAGGAAAGCTAAGAAGGATGACCAGATGTTGAAAAGGAGAAATGTCGGCTCCTTTCCTGATGGCGCTACCTCTCCCCTGCAGGAAAACCGACACAACCAGGGTACTGTACACTGGTCTGTGGATGACACTGTCAAAGGCATCAATAGCAACAATTTGGAAAGCCAGCTCCAGGCTACTCAAGCTGCTAGGAAACTGCTTTCCAGGGCAAAACAGCCCCCTATAGACAACATAATCCGAGCAGGCTTGATTCCAAAATTTGTGTCCTTCTTGGGCAGAACTGACTGCAGCCCCATTCAGTTTGAGTCTGCTTGGGCACTCACTAACGTTGCATCTGGGACATCAGAACAGACCACGGCTGTGGTCGAGGGAGGAGCAATCCCAGCATTCATTTCTCCGTTGACATCACTGCATGCTCACATCAGTGAACCAGCTATTCGGGCTTTGGCCAACATTGCAGGTGATGGCTCACCTTTCCGGGACTTGGTTATCAAGTATAGTGCAGTTGTCCCTCTGTTGGCTCTCCTTGCAGTTCCTGATAAGTCTTCTTTAGCATGTGGTTCCTTGCGGAATCTTACCTGGACACTTTCAAACCTCTGTCGGAACAAGAATCCTGCACCCCCATTAGATGCTGTTGAGCAGATTCTCCCTACTTTAGTTCATCTTCTGCATCACGATGACCCAGAAGTGTTGGCCGATATCTGCTGGGCCAGTTCCTATCTTACTGATGGTCCAAATGAACGCACTGAAATGGTTGTGACAACAGGAGTTGTGCCCCAACTTGTGAAATCTCTTGGAGCGACCGATTTGCCCATTGTGACTCTGCACTAAGAGCCATAGGGAATGTTGTCACGTGGACAGATGCGCAGACTCAGGTTGTAACAGATGCAGGAGCCCTTGCTGTGTTTCCTAGCCTGCTAACTAACCCCAAACATATTCAGAAGGAAGCCACCTGGACAATGTCACACATCACAGCAGGCCGTCAGGACCAGATACAGCCAGCGGGGAACCACGGATTAGTCCCATTCCTCATTGACATGCTCAGAAAGTCGGACTTTAAGACTCAAAAAGAAGCCGTCTGGGCTGTGACCCACTATACAAGTGGCGGAACAGTGGACCAGATCGTCTCCCTTGTCCACTGTGGCACAGTCAAACCATTGATGAGCCTTTTAATGGAAGGGCACCGAGATTATTTTGGTTATTCTGGATGCCATTTCCAATATCTTTCAAGCTGCTGAGAAAATTAATGAAACTGAGAAACTTAGTTTAATGATCGAAGAATGTGGAGGCTTGGATAAGATGGAAGCCCTGCAAAACCATGAAAAAGAGTCTCTGTACAAGGCTTCCTTGAACTTGATTGAGAACTATTTCTCTGTAGAGGAAGAAGATCAGAATGTTGTTCCAGAAACTACCTCTGAAGGATATGCCTTCCAAGTTCCTGATGGCACCCCTGGGACCTTTAACTTTTGAGAGTGTGCAGCTGAGTCCTAAGGTCGTTTGTTGTGTACCTTGTTTGGTATAAGTTTGTCTTAATTCTTTCTCTACTAAGAATCTTTATAAATGTGATTTGTTTATGTAGCACTTTTTACAACAGAACCATACTTGAACAGTTCCAGACTGTATGTACTGTATGACGCCGTCTCCTCTGTCAGTGGGTTTCTTGCTTCTGTGTGGAATTTCATATCTTGCAGTGTCCTGTAAATAAAGATTAAGTTCCACCCTTTCAAAAAAAAAAAGATTTTCAGAATAAGCAGATTTCTTTTCATTAGGGAGGTTTTAAATGAGCCCTTTAATGGGTTCCTGTGCCCTGGCATTCATGAGGTACTGTAATTATTGGACTGTTATTGTTAGCTGCCATCCAGTCAGCTCCAACTCACAGCCGCCCGAGCCACAAGGGAAGTAAGCCTCTCTGGTCCCACGCCGCCCTCACTCTTCTTCTTCCGTGGGAGCCCGTTGCTGCAGCCACCGTGCGGCCCGTCTTACTGAGGGCTTTTTCCCCTTCTTCGCTGCTCCTGGCTGCACCAAGCATGACGGGCTTTTTCAGGGACTGCTCTTCCTGATAGCCGCCCGAAGTCCATGCAATGAGATCTCGCTAACCTTGCCTCCAAGGAGCATTGTGTCTAGTTCTTCCGAGACAGATGGGTGTGCCCTTGTAGCCGTCCATGGCACTTTCAGTGTTCTCCAGCACCACATTGCAAATGCACCGGCCCTTCTTTGGTCTTCCATACCGAAGGTCCAACTTTCACATGCCTGTGAATTGAATGAAAAAGCTTTGGCTTTGGTCAGGCACACCTTAGCCCTCAAAGTGACATCCATCCTTTTCAACGCTGAGAGAGGTCTTTCTTCTGCAGCAGGTTTACCCAGTGCAATGCATCCTGTTGTCTCTTGACTGCTGCTGCCATGAGCATCGACTGTCAATCCAAGCAATCCTTGACAACTTCAATCTTGTCTCCATTTACATGATATTCCCTATTGGTCCAGTTGTGAGGCTGTGGGTCTTCCTTACCTTGAGCTGTAATCCATCCTGAAGGCTGCAATCCTCGATCTTCATCAGCAAGTGCTTCAAGTCCTCCTCCCTTCAGCAAGCAAGGTTGTGTCATCTGCATATCACAGGTTGTTCATAAGCCTTCTTCCAATCCTGATGCCACATTCTTCTTCATAGAATCCAGCTCCTCTGATGATTTCCTCGGCATATGGATTGAATGAGTGTGGTGAGAGGATACAACCCTGATGCACACCTTTCCTGATTTTAAACCAGGCAACATTTTCTTGTTGTATTCACACAACTGCCTCTTGGTCCGTGTACAGATTCCACATGAAGATGAAGTTCTGGAATTCTCATTCTCCTCAAGGCTATCCATATCTTGGTATGGGCCATAGAGTTGAAGGCCTTTGCAGAATCAGTAAGGCACAAGTAAACATCCTTCTAGTGTCTCTGATTCCTTTGCAGAATCAGTAAGGCTCAAGTAAACATCCTTCTAGTGCTCTCTGATTCCAGCAGAGATCTCATCAGTAATGTTATCCCTGGCTCTGGGTGCGCCTCTGAGTCTGACACGAACCTCTGGCAGCGCCCTGTCAGTGGACTGCTGCATCCCTCATTGATGATGTTCAGCAAAATTCTACTTGCATGCGATATCAAAAATAGTGTTCTGTAATTTAGATCCGGATTACTTTTCTTTGGAATAGGTACAAGTATGGATCTCTTCAAGGAAATTGGCCAAGTCGCTCTCTTCCAAATTTCTTAGCATCGACAAGTGAGTGCTTCCAGTGCGTCAGTAGCCTGTTGAAACATGTGAAAAGTATTCCGTCAATTCCTGGAGCCTCGACTTTGGCTAATGCTGTGCAGTTTGGGCGTCTTTCTTCAGCACCAGTAGTTGTTGCTCATGTGCTGTCTCTGGAAATGGTTGGACATCGCCAAGTTCTTTCTGGTACAGGGACACTGTGTTTTTTCCATCTTCTTTGGATGCTTCCTGCAGAATTCAAGATGCTGCCGTGGAGTCTTTCAGAATTGTAATTCAAGGCTTCACGTTTCTCTTTAGTTCTTTCCATTTAAGATGTGCTGAGGATGTTCTTCCGTTTTGGGTTTTGAACGCTAGGTCTCTGAAGATTTTATTATACTCTTTTACTTTTGCTTCTTGAGCAGCCCTTTGAGATTTTCTGTCCAGCTCTGTGCCTTCATCCTTTCCTCCATTCGTCTCCGCTGCTCCATGACGAAGAGCAAGTGTCCAGGTCTCTTCTGACAAGCGCTTTGACCTTTTCTTTCTTTCCAGTCTTTTAATTTCTCTCGTTTCTGCTCTCTCTTCGTGGATGACAGCGTTACTGTCCTCCCACCGCTCATCAGGTCTTTTCTCATTAGTGCTCAGTGGGTCAGATCTACTCTTGAGCTGATCTCAAATTCCAGTGAGATACACTCAAGGTCTATTTTGGCTCTATTAAAAACCAAACTTACTTTCATCAGGTAGGTGCCGACTCATAGTGACCTAATAGGGCAGGGTAGAACTGCCCCTGTGAGCTTCTGAGACTGCAACTGTTTGCAGGATTAGAAAGTCCCAGCTTTCTCCAACAGAGTGGTTTTGAACTGGCAACCTTGAGGTTAGCAGCCCAACATATAACCACAAGCTACCAGAGCTCCTTTGGCTTCAAACAGAACTCACGTCTGAGCGACTGACGATCTGTTCCACAGTCACCCCTGCCCTCTCTTTGGCTGCTGATGCTGAGCTTCACCACCTGTTCTTCCCACAGATGCAGTTTGCTTCCTGTGTGTCCCCCTGGAGAAGTCCATGTGCATCAGCACCGTTTGTGTTGTTGAAACAAGGTCTTTGTAATGAAGAAGTCACGGGTCTTGCGAATTCGACCGTGTGACTTCCAGCTGCATTTTGATCACCTTAGCCATTTTTCCAACTACTGTACTTTTCTCTTGGTTTCCAACTTCTGCATTTCAATGGCCAATAATTATAAAGACGCATTGTTAATTATTGGCCTTTGAAATGCTAATGGGATTGTATGATTGCATTTGGATCAATTTCACACTGAAGGCATTAGTAAAATTCTTCAATTTTTTTCATTGTAGCTTTAGTGGTTGGTACACAAATTTGAATAATAATTGTATTGATGGGACTTCCTTGTATGAGGACAGATATTATGCTATCACAGACAGCATTCTACTTACAGATAGATCTTGAAATGTCCCTTTTGGTGATGAATGTGATGCCATTCCCTGAATCTGGCATTTCTGACTTTGTAAACCATATGACTACCTGATCCAAGATCGCCAAGGCCGGTCCATTTCAGCTCCCTAACTTACACAAGACTGATCTTTACGCGTTCCATTTCATTTTTATCAACTTCCACTTTTCCTGGAGTCATACTTTTTACATGCAGCTGATTCTTTTCC